ACAACCAGAGCCCAGTGAGGGGCCTTGGGCTGGGTCCTGGACCCAGTACAGACGGGTATAGGGTGGAACGAGGGACTGATGGCCCCAGTGCCTTGTGGGGGCAGAGGCCTGGTGGCAGCTCTGCCCACTGATGCAGGGCTGGGGCACCTTGTCTACCATGGCATGCCCATGGGAGTGGGCGCAGGGTCTGCCCCAGCAGGGATGGGCTGGGCGCAAGCTCAGACTTGGGCGTGCAGTTGGGCCTCCTCACCAAGGTGCCTTTTGAGATCCAGCAGCTTCCTGTGCACACAGGGCGAGTATGCAGCAAGTTCTGCAGGCTGCTGAGTCAGCCACTGGCCCCTTCTCGGAGCTGGGCTCTGCACTGGGCTCATGAGCTCTGGGGCAGCCCAGGGCAGCCTTCTACAGACTGCCCGGGAGGGTATGGGGTTGGCTTGGCAGCCAGTGTGTTGGTGGAGTCGTTGCCGACCACCATGGCTCCTGGCGGGATGGTACGTGGGCTGCTCCTGCACTTGCCCCACCCCCGTTGTGAGGACAGTGTCCACCTGGGCAGGGTGGCAGCACCAGGCCCGTGGGTTCCACCAGAGTGCTGGTGACGGTTGATGGCTGGCAGGGACTGGGGGCAGCTGGGGGTCCTGGCAGGCTGAGCTCTGCTCCTCGCATGGCTGTGCTGGCATCTTGAATGCCGGCCTGAGCCTGGCCCTCTTGTGTCTCACAGGTGAGCTTGTGGCTGCTCCTGTGCCTCTAGAGCCAGGTTCATGGGCCAGAGAGGCACAGGAGAGTCCTGCCTCCTCAGCTTACCTCCTCCTCAGGAGGTCCCTGCAGATAGTACCTGGGTGGGGTCTGACCTGGGGCCATGGCAGGTGCAGCAGATGGGGTGTTGGACCACTCCTTCGTGGGCCATCTGTGGGAGGTCCCGTCCCAGGTGCGGGGGGCCTCCCAGAGCTGATGGGGCAGCATTTCAGGCTGGGGACACCTGGGCCTGACCAGGGTTGGGCATGGCCTGGGCTGCCGCTGCAAGGGCAACCCTGTGTTGGGACCAGCCAGGCCCCTGCGGCTCTGGGGGGTCAGCCCCTGGCTCAGGCCACACTTGCCGTCTCCCTCCCAGGACAGATCCCAGAAGAGGAGGCCAGTCAGAACGGACAGAGCCGGGGCCTGCCCAAAGCCGTGTGCATGAATGGCACGGAGACGGCGCAGCTGAGCACCAAATCCAAGGCGGAGGGCAGGGCCCCCAACCCCGCCCGCAAGGCCTGCTCGGCCAGCAGCAAGATCCGCCGGCTGTCGGCCTGCAAGCAGCAGTGAGGGTGGCCGCCTGCAGGTGGGGCGCGGCGGGGCCTGGGTGGTCGTGTGGGGACACTGGATGGGTGCATAGCCCGTGGGAGTCATGGCGACTGTCACGCTCCAGGCTGCACCTGGTTGCCATGTTGCCTTTGGGTGGCTTGTCCAGATAGGAGTCCCCATTGAGAGTGGCGTCTCAGGGCCTGGTCTGTGGCCTGTGTGTTGGTCACGGAGGCCTATGTGTGGCTGGGCTCCGAGGGGGTCATGCCATCGTCACAGCCCCCTCTCAGAGTGGGTGCATTCAGAGGACTCTGCCCTGGGCCTCGTGCCTCCTACCCATGCCCAGGCTGCTCCCAGGAAAGGCTTACACTGGGCTCAGCCCGGAGGCTTCTGAGGCATGACCAGGTGGTGGGGAGGCGCTGCAGCTCCCATGGTCCTGCCAGGCTGCCCCGGCCAGACGCTGCCTTCCCTCTCCCTGTGTGCCTGCTCCTCTCTTGGCCCCAGCCCAGGGTGGGAGACCCTGTCGCCTGCTGAGGATAGGGGGCAGATGGGGACCTCAGACTGAAGCCTCTCCGCCCTGCCACAGTCCGTCCGGCAGGTTTAGGGGCCACTGCCTGAGTCCCATGTCTGTCTCCCAAATGGGTGCCCACAGCCCATCCGCCAGCATCGGAGCCCGCCAGGCCTGGTGGGAAATTCTTTCCGGGAAGGCCCAGGCCCCACTGCAAGAGGCCGCACTTAGTGTACCCCAGGAGCGACTCAAGGGGTGGTCTTCTCTGGCCTCCCCCGCTGTCCCCCCAGGAGTCCGGCAGCCACCACGACTGCACCCGTTCTCCGCCGGCGAGGGGCCCACGTGAAGCGGAGACCCGGTGCCCAGGCTGACCTCTGTCCTTCCTCCCTGCAGTCCGTGTCCAGGTGCCCGCAACAGGCCCTCCTCCCGGAGAGGCGGCCGCCGCACCCCCGTGCTGACCGCGCCCCAGGACCTCAGGAGCCCCTGCAGGGCCGGCGGGAGGACCGCAGGGCCCGGGCGCAGCGAGTCCGCCGCCCGGCAGGGCCCGCAGCTGCTCGCCTTGGCCCCGGGCGGGTGAGGGAGGCGGGAGGCGGCCCCGATGCACTTTACTGGAGCGCCTGCCGGCCCCGCCCGCCCGAGCTCCGCAGACCGGCGCCCCGGAGCCCAGCCTGCCCCGCCATGCATGCAGCGCCGCCCGGGAGCCGCGGACGCCGCCTCGGTTTTGTTGTTTGGTTGGTTCCATTTTTCTTTTTTTTTTTTTTAAGAAAAAATAAAAGGTGGATTTGAGCCGTGGCTGTGAGGGCTGTGTGGGTGCCGCGGGGTGGCGGGGGCGTGGGTCGCGCTCGGTCGCCCCGCTCCGGCCTCGGCAGGACCCCGCCTCCCCCACCGCGCCGCGCGCTCGGGACCGGAGAAAAGCGAGCACGCGGGAGCACGCGGTCAGCGTTTATCGTCAACCGGAAACAGACGCGGGCGGCGCCGTGGGCACGGGGCGCCGCCGCCCGCATTCGGCAATAAATAAAGCTCGGGGGGCGGGGGCCTGGCCGGGGGGTTTGTCCGCGTCTCTACTCGGGGGGGCGGCGGGGCGGACGCCGTTCACATGCGGAGGGCAGCGGGGGCGCGGGGGGCCGGCAGCGCGGTTATTGCTCTGTGAGGTAAACGGTCTCGGGGCGGCAGTCGCGGCGTTGGGGCGCCCCCCGGCCCCGGGCAGCGTCCTGGCTGCGGCCCTCCGCGCCCCGCGCCCCCAGCCAGGGCGAGCTCGCACACGCGCTCGGCACGCGGCGGCTCCATCGGGCCCGGTGGGCTGCGCGTCCCTGGGGTGGCCGCCCCGTCCGGGACTGAGGGTGGCTGCGCGTGATCCTCAGGAGCCCGAAGCTGAGAGCCGCTCACGCCCCTTCCTTCCCGCCCAGCCGGGGTCTCCGCGCCCCGCGCTTCGCGCCGCCCCGCAAGCGCCAGTGAGAACAGTGCGCGTGCGCACTTCGACGGCGCGACAGCGGCCGGGGCCCTGCGCGTGCGCCCTGAAGCGGCGAGCGCGACTCCGTCGCCCCGCGCCTGCGCGAAGGGCCGGCGGTCCCAGCGCATGCGTGTCGGGGCGTCGCGCCCCCACATCTCTCCCGCCGCCGAGGCCCCGCGCGGCGCCGGAGAAGCTGCCAGAGAGATGGGCCCGGGACGCGAGACTTAGGCCGGGCTGTGGTCGGGGGACGTGGGGGCGGCGGCGGCGACCAAGGCGGGAGCCGCCACGACGGGCTCGGCGAGGCGCGGCGGAAAGAGTCTCTCGTCGAGGCCGGCCGCCAGCTTGTCCAGCAGCGCCCCAGGGGGCGCGACGCACAGGCCCGACCCGGGGCAGCCCCCGCCGCCCGGCTCCTCCTCGATGACGGGGATGGCGGGGTCGTCGCCGGCGCCGCCCAGGCTGCGGCCGTCGGGCGGGCCGTCCACGCTGTCGCCGCGGCGCAGGGGCGCGCGCGCGGGCCGGGCCGCGCCGGCGGGCGGGGCGGGGGGCGGGGCCGCGCGGGCGCCGGGGTCGCTGTGCTGCCGGCCGCGCTGCCACTGCTTCCGGGCGTGCGGGTGCGCGCGTGCGCGGTGGCGCGCGGCGGCCGGCGCGTCGTCGAAGTGCGGGTCGTGGCGCAGGAACTCGTGGAACAGCGCGTCCGTCTTCTCGTCGATGCTGTAGTCGCGGCGCGGGCGGCGGGGCCAGGCGCGCGGGCTGCGGGGCAGGGCGGGCGCGGCGGGCGGCTCGGTGTCGTCGCCGGCGCCGCGGCCCTCGATGCTGGCGTAGCCGCTGTCCATCTGCAGCAGCCGGCGCGCCTCGCCGTCCTTGGGTCGGGGCGCGGGCGGGGAGGGCGGCGGGAAGGCGGGCGCCGCGCCCCCGGAGCCCGAGCCCGAGCTGTCGCCGCTGCGCACCGAGTCGCGGTCGTTGCCGCTGCTGCTGTGGTCCGAGGCGGCCGCGTGCAGCTCGAGCGAGGCGCGCAGGCTCCACAGGTCGCGGTAGCTGGTCTGGGCTTGCTCGGGGCCGCCATCGCGCTCGGCGTCCAGCTCCGGGGGCGGCGGCTGCTCAGGCCCCGCGCCGCCCGCGCCGCGCTCCAGGGGGGACTCGGGGCTCGCTCCTCCCGCCGCTGCCTCGGCCGCCTCTAGCCTGCAAGCCAGGCCGCGCCGTCAGAGCCCCTCCGTGGCCGGCCACCCTGCCTCTGGATCAGGGAGGGTGGGCGCGGGGGGGACCTGGGACTCGGGGAGACCCCGGAAGGTGAGAGCTTTAAAATGGGTCGCTGTTTTTTGAAGGGGACGGGTCTTGCATTAACGCTGAGCTCTGGCGCTTGCGTTTCAACCCGGGTGCCTCCCTGCTGTACTGCAGACCGCGGGGCCCCTCCCCTGGAAGCCCCCGGGACGGGCCAACACGCTCCTCCCCAGAGTCACCTTTTGCCACCCTCCCCGTGGACCGGTTGAGTCCAGCTCAGCCCCTGTTCCAGGCTAGCTAGCGCGCTCTGCCCACCCATCCTCAGTAACTAGCAGGAGGAGGATGCACAGACGTGAGGGTCACCCCCCAGACCAGGGCTGCCCCAGGAACGCTGCTCTGCCCCAGCCCCATGCCCCCTGCCCCATTCCAATCCCAGTGACTAGGCCCTGGGCTTCAGGAAGATTACCTTGGGTTGGGGGAGGGGCGCTGCTGGCCACAGTGGTCATAGCAGCTTCTGGAAAGGGATTGCCCAGCCCTCGGGAGCGTGAGGGGTGGGAGAGGGCCTGGGGCTCCACCAGGAAGTGGCAGTACTAGCCCAGGCAGGTACCCCGAAGTGTTACTGCCTGTGGCCATCGGCGGCGGGGCCCCACGTACCCCCCTACCCTTACCCAGTCTCTCCCCGCTTCCCTCCTCTGGTCCATGCTGGAGAGGTGGCCCCAGTGAGTCGGCCTCTGGGAGGGGCCTTGCCGCTGGAGGCGGGCGAGCCCGGGTCCACGGGGTCTGGAGCGCGCTCCCTGGGCCGCCTGGGAGGGGCAAATCGGGGCAAGGGCCCACGGGTCCACCCCTAGCACCTCTATCTACTGAAAAATACCTGCCGAGAGCAGGGGGCGGGCTGGTGGGGCTGGCCAGAAAGGGGCGGGGGGACGGGAAGGCCACAGTGTCACCAGCCCTGGCGATGTACTGGATGAAGTCCACGTGGGGGGTGCCCGCCGCCTCCTGCTCCATGCTCTCACTGGCTGCCCGCTGCCGCTGGAAGTGATGCCGTTTGGGGGAACCTGTGTGGGGGATGTGCCGTCAGCCTGTGTGTGGCCCCCACCCCTCGACAGCCTGCCTGTTCCCCCTCCACACGCCTGCCTCTTATCACACACACAGAGAAGTGGGCCCTGACTGGGGCCAGATCCTGGCTGGCATCTCCCCAGGCCCGGTGGGTGTGGACAGTGGCTGTGGGTACACTCTGGAGTACAGGTGAAACCGACACACACGGCGGGCAGAGGTGCTGAACCAGAGAGCCTGGGGTGAGGGCAGGGCCAGGAAGTGAGTGGGAGGGCCTCAGGCAGTGGTAGTGCCTCCCGGCAGCCCTCGTGGGCCTGTGACTACTCATAAGGACACGTCCTAGACACCTGGTGGCCAGCACTGCCTGGCTCAAGGCACAGAAGGTGGGAGAGTCGCATACAGGGTGGTGAGAGCCAATGAGGAGACGGAGAGAGGTGCCCTTTCGTGGCAGCTCCACCCAGGCCTGGGGAGTGCTGGGGGACTGCCCCACCTCTGTGCCCTTCTCCCCACAGCCTCCCCAGCGAAGCTGGAGCCGGCAGGCCCCAAGGGCAGGGAGGCAGTCACTCAGCAAACGGCTTCTGGGCTGTGCTGCAGACACTGGACCCTAATCACAAGCATGGCCCCAGTCATCTCAGGATCTGCATTCTCTCAGCGGGAACTGTGCAGCCAGAGGTAGCTGTCCCTTCCCTGGCTGCTAGCTACCTTTGGGATGGGGGCCGGGAGAGTCACCCCCTCCTGCTGGCTGGGGCCGGGAGAGTCACCCCCTCCTGCTGGCTGGAGCCAGGCCCCATCACGGGGTCTCCCACTTTCTGAGAACAGTACTTGTCCCCTGTCCCTGTCTCACCCGACAGGAAGTGCCACCCCCTCCACAGGGCAGAGCAGGGTCCCGGCCCCTCCAGGCTGCCCTAGCTCTGCTAAACCTGCTGAGCAGGGATGGTGCCTGCTGCCAGCGCCACAGACCGGACCCTTCTGCTCCCCGCGCACGCTCCTGCCTTAACTCCAGATAAGGCAGCCCTGTTTCCAGAACCCCGTGTGACCCTGAGCTTGCAGAATTGAAGGGCTCCTGTCAACTAGTCCAGGGGTCTGTGCGATACAGCCAGAGGGCGAATCCGCCCGCCACCTGCTTCTGCGAGCCATGTGCCACAGTGCGTCTGACTGCGTCCTCGCCACCACGGCAGCACTGAGTCGTCGAAACAGCCTGTCTGACCACCGCACCGTGAATACTACCATCCCAGGGCTGACGGGAAATGTTTGCTGACCCCTGGCCCAGTCCAAATCTGTTGCTGTATGTCTGAGAAAGCCAGAGCCCAGACGGGCAGAGGGCCGTGGCCAAGGTCACACAGCTGCTGGAGGGATGCTGTGGCCAGCAGGTGAGGAAGGGACCCCTGGAGAACCCGCCTTCCACTCTCACCCCCAGGCATCAGGATGAGAGCCCAGCATGGCCGGGAGAAGATGCAGGCTGCAGGCCCCACCCTCTGGGCTCCACAGTGAGCAGGTGGCCCCCTAAAACCCTACTTTACCACCTTGTTATGGATGCCACAATGACTCCAGAGCAGCGGGGGCATGGAAAACTCACGGGCACAGGGCAGAGCCGGGGGGTGGTCTGGCCCAGGCCGCCTGCACACACAGCCCTCCCGCCACCCAAAGAACCTCAAGCAGGATGTCGGCTGGCAGACTGGGCAGGGCCCAGCTCCACACCCAGACTCCAGATAAGGCAGCCCTGGGCCACAACCTCCTGCTCCTGGCTGTCCAGGGCAGCCACCACCAAGCGTGACAGGGCCACTCTCCACCAGGTGCTGCAGCTTACCTCTTGTGTCCAGACTGGCCGCCCGATGGCTGGGCTCTAGCTTCCACTTCTTGACCTTGAAGTAGGGGCTGGCCCCGTCCAGGCTGGCATGGCGGCGCAGGCGGGTGAAGAACTGCAGCACAGTGCCCGCCCCAGAGCCTGGGCCTGCCTCCCCAGGCCCTGCTGCAGCCCCGGGCCCTCCAGCCTTTGTGCTCCTGGTATCCGCATCCAACTGGCAGGAAACAGAGATGGCAATCAGGCTAGAAGACCTCTCTCTGGCCCCGCGTGCCGGCCCCAAATGGTCCTAGGCCTGGGAGACAGTCCCAACGGCCCCCCATCACTGGGATGGAGATGGGGACCTGCTCAGAGAGGGGCAGAGGCGGGAGGAGGGGGTCTTAGCGGCTGGGTGGGCTACTCTAGGGCTCTCCCCTCTGGGGAAGGTCCCTGGACGTGTGGTTTGCAGAGGGGGGGAGGTGTGTGTCTAGGAGCCCTCTCACCCCTGCCCTGGGCTGCAGGTGAGGGAGGGCAGGGGTGGGGTGCACCATCTCCAGTGCCTGGGGAGTCTGAAATGAGGTGGGAGCAGGGGGTGCCCCCTGCATGTGTGAGTACACGCCTGTGTCCAGTGTGTGGCCGGCTTTTTCTCCTTTGTGTGGTTACCCAGCAGGCCAAGGAGGGCCCTGGTGGGTGGGAGGTGATGAGCTGATCTTTGTCTGGGATCAGGGCAAGGGAGGGGAAGCAGCCTCCCAGGCTGTGGACACCGTGGGGGACACGCAGGGGCCCTCACCGAGGTGCCTTCCCCAGAGTCGCTAGATGCCAAGGGGCTGATCTCTGCGAAGTCAGTGGCGCCCGCGGCTGAGTTGTAGGGGTCACCTGGCAGGGCGGAGCTGGGGCCCACGGAGTGGCCCGTGAGGGCCTTCCCCGGGGGCTGTGGGACAGAGCCAGGTGGGGGAGGAAGCAGTGACAGATCAAAGAGCATGGTGGGTGAGGGGCATGCTGGGCTCCACCACTTCCCTGTGCCACCCCACTGGGCACCCCCGACCATCCCAAGATGAGGGCCACCCAGAAAGAGAGTGGGGAAGAGCATGGGGCTCTGGGAGTCCCTGGGGCTGCCCCCCTACCCCAGGAACTTTGCTGGCTGCTGCCATAGACTCACCTGGAAAATGGCCAGGGTGGCCTTGGGAGAGGTGGCTGGGTGGGGCAGGGCGGCCGAGCTGGCCTCTCCAGAGTCACACTCATGGATGGTGACAATCTTGAGGGGCGGCAGATGCAGGTGGGTGAGTCGGGCATTCTTCAGGTGGTGGAAGTCCCCTTCCGTCAGCGTGTACCTGCGACAGCACCTGGTCATCAGTACCTGCCCACCTCCCATGCCTGATGCCCCACCTGCCAAGCTCTGCCATCCACCCTACCAGCCTGGGCAGGGGCAGGGAAAGTGGGAGCACCTGGCCAGGGGCCTCTGCCTTGGTCCCTGAAGCGTCTGTGCCTAGCTCCTCCCCACTCCCAAGCACCGGTGACCTCAGACACGCCCTGGGCTCCTGCCCCCCTTACCGGCGGCCCTTGTCCTGTGCCTTGCGGCTCTGCTCAAACAGTGCTGCCTCATTGAAGGAGACCCGGCGGCCCGTGGAGCTGGTGGACAGGAAGCGCTCCGTCTCCGCATCCTGGCCCTCGGGGTCTTCCCCCCGGAAGTAGGGGTCTGCATGGAAAGGCAAGAGAGGGTGGGCCCCAGGTGGGCCGTGCCAGGCGCCTGGTCCCGGGAGGGATGCTCGGCAGGGTGGGGCGGGGAGGGCTGGGGCCGCGCGCCGGCGGCCGGGGGGCGGGGCGAGGGGCACTCGTTCATCCGCTCACACACTCACTCGCTCAGCACGCGCCTGGGCCCACCTACGCCTGGGTGTTAAGGAAACAGAGATGAGTCGGAATCGAGCTGCGCCCAGTCTGGTGGGGGAGACAGACAGACACAGACGGTCAGGCAGCCCGAGGGGGCGGCGGGTGGCCGAGGGGCGGATGGACAAATGGGTGCAAGGCCGGGCTGGCCAGTGCCTCACCTTGGGCGGGGTGGGTCCCATTGTCCAGGTAGGTGGTGGTGGTCTTCTCTGCTTCCTCAATGGCCCTGGGAGGGACATCAGGAGAGCCCAGTGGCACCGAGGGTCCAGACAGCCGCAGTGGGTCTGGGCTCTCTGCCCCATGCCAAGGCCCTGTGCATGATCCCGTCTCCAGAGGCATAGACCACTCTGCGGCTCAGAAGCCAGTGAGGTAGGCCCCCTCCCCACCCGGGTGGCACCCACACCCACCATGCACCAGCCCAGCCGAGGTGGGGGCCTCGCACCTGTTGAGGCGCTGGTGGACGTCCCAGCAGCGCTTGCAGAGAAGCAGGACGCCGGACAGCACCACCAGCGTGCCCCCCACAAACAGCGACATCACCACCACCAGCAGCACGTAGTTGTCCAGGATAGGGTCTGGCTCTGCCTGTGAGTGTGCAGGGGAGTCAGGTGCTGCTGGCCTGAACGACCTCCCACCCCTCCTGCCCATCCGTCCCCTGCACCCACCGTGGGGCGTCCAGTGCTGTTGTCCCACGACGTTGTGAGGGCTACCGTGGCAGAGGTGGTGGTGGCAGCGGCTGTGGCCATGGTGGCTGTGGGCTGCATTCTGAGCTGGGAAGGACGGCCCTGTGGGGAGGAGGCCTGGTCAGCTCCAGCTAGGCCTACTTCTCCTGCAGGAGCCACTGCAAACGAGCCGGGTCTTCCCTGCGGGAGCAGGAACCCACACAGGGGGCAGTGACTCATGGAGAGGCCGCCTCCACCCGGCTTGGCTCCGCCCGGCGAGTCCGAGGGGCTCTCTCTGGACCTCTATGTGCCATACCCCGCAGGGGAGGCGGCCCCGGCCTCTGAGGGTGTGCCTGTGCCCATCGCAACTGCACATAGCCGGTGCGGCCTGTCCTGCAAGGCAGCGCCAGGCTCCGGAGCTCCGCACCGAGAAGGGCAAGCACTTCTCCGAAGAATGGAGACACCGAGGCCGTGCCTCGGGCTCGGGAGGGACCCCAGGCGCCCTGTCAGGCCCCATTCACGGGGGCAGGCGGCCACCCCGGCCCCAAGAAGTGCAGCTACACCCTGCCTTGTCCCACTGGGTCATGGTTTGTAGTGGGAGCCCTCCCGCCGTCCCGCGCGGGGGAGGGCACAGCGTCTGGGCACAGGTCACGACTCCGGGAGGCGGAGGTCCCCCGGTGCTGAGCACTGGTGGGAGTGCAAGGGACAAAGGAGGCGCATCTGTTTCCAGCCCCGGAGAAGCTGGTTCCCATGGCGACCGCGGAGCAGGCCGCGGCTGGGGGGGGGGCGGGTTGCCAAGGAGCGGCGGGGGGGGGGCGCGGGGGCGGCGGCCTGGTGGGGGGCGGGCGCGGAGCCGCAAGATGGCCGCGGCCGCCACCCCGCCGTGCCCAGCATCCCTGGGCCTCTCCAGCCGCCTCCAGTACGCCTTACGCTTGGGGGAAACTGAGGCGGGGCGCGGCACCAGGAAAAGGAGCTGCCTGGACATTGCGCCGCGCAGCCGGGCGGGAAGGTCCGGGAATCGCAGGGGGCCGGGGCTGGCGCCGGGATCCCTGGCGGCCCTAGGTCGGCACCGCATGCACGAGGCCTCTCCTGGAGCCAGAGAGCACAGGCGGCGGCCGCCCGATCCCCTCCCAGGCTTCCGCCCACGCCCGACAGCGGGGAAACTGAGGCCCAAAGCCGGGAAGGCTCCCAGCGGGCGCCACTGTCCTCAGCGCTCCGGGTCACGGGCTGCCGGAGCCTTGGTATTGGGGGAAGGGGCAGCATATGTAGGTCGGGAAATGAGTTCAGGCTGGAGGGGGTGGGGCACAGGCGCAGGATGGGGACCCGAGACCAGCGAAGATGGCAGGGGGCCGAGGGGAAGAGCGGGGCTCCTGGCGGAGGCGGCTGCGGGAGCCGAGGACGGAGGTTCCCCACTGGGCAGCACCGCGCCCCCGAGCCGGCCGAGGGGCGGGGATGGCGAACGAGGGAGGCAGGGACCCGACGCCAGGGCTCCGCCGCGAGGTCGAGACGCCATCGCCCTGCTCCGACTCACCGGGGGAAACTGAGGTCGGGGTGGGGCCTGGGCGGGGGTCCGTCTCCAGATAGTCGGGTGGCGGCCGCAAGGCCCGCAGCCTGGTCCCCACGCCCGCGGGACTCCTCCGCGCCCTCCCTCCGGTCGCGCAGCCGCGCGGGGAACGGCTGGTGGTCCAGACCCCGGGCGAGCCCCAAGCCGGCCGCGATCCCCGGCCCGCCCCTGTCCGTCCCCCGCAGCCCCGAGCCCGCCGCGCCTACCTCAGCGCCGGGACGCGCGGCCCATGGGCGGCGGGCAGGCGGGCGGCTGCGCGGCGCTCCCGGCTGGCTCCGGCGCCCGGTGGCCGCCGAGCAGACGGAGAATTTATGAATGGAGAGCTCGGCGCGGGGGAGGCCGGCGCGAGAGGAGGGGCCGCGCACGTGACCGCGTTGGCGGCGCGCCCGCTCCGCGCGCCCGGTGCTGCCCGGTCCCCGGCCGGCCGCCCCCGCTGCGCTCGCCGCTGGGTCTGGCTGGCTCCGCGCCGGCCCCCGCCTCCCCTTCCCTTCCGGCGGGGGCGGGGGGCGGAGCCTGCGCTCCTGCGCGCCCACTCCGCACGCGGAGCCGCCCCCCGCACCCGCCGCGGCGGCCGAGCCCCGCCCCCGGCCCCCCCGCACGACTCACCTCACCCGGTCCTGAGGTCGGGGACGGTCCCAGGGACGCAGCTTGGGGTGTCCTGGAATGCACGACTCCCTAAAGCCCGAGGTGCGCCGCGTGCGCGGGAGGGGGTGGGGTCCGGGGATGCATGGACTCCCCGGTCACGTCGCTTGGTCCGTGGGGGTTCCGGGGCGGCACAGCCAGGGCCCCTGGAGCACAACTGCTCCGTTCGGCTTACAGCCCAGGGTCCCAGGGCACAGGCGCCCCCGCCTGCTTCTCCCCTCTGGCAATGTGGAGGGCTCGCCATGCTCCTCTGACCCATCCCCTGGGTGACAACGATCACAGACCGGCTCAAAGCTGAACAGAGCCCAGGGGCCCAAACGTGCACCCACAGAGGCCTGGTTCTCTGGGGTGACATCAGAACGACACCAGCAGAAACCCAAGTCCCAAGCCTGCCCCAGCTTCTCCCTCTCAGACCATCGAGCCTCACCCTTCAGATACTCAGGCCGCACACCTGCCAGCAGCCTGCTCTGAACGCCACCCCAGCCCCGCTGGGCCCTCGCCTAACACCCCACAGCGCCTCCTCTTTCTCATCCCCAAAAAGGCTGACACCGCTCCGGGACGCGGCAGGCCCAGCTCAGCCTCCACGCCTCTGCCCTTCCAGGTACCCGGTACCCAGGCCTTGTCCATGCAGTCAAAGATTCACCCCGGTTTCCTTCACCTCCTTCCGCAGCGTCACAGTCTCGGCGTTCCTGATCTTGGCCCCCAGCCCGCGCCCCGCCCCCCTCCTCTGCTGTGTCTCTCCGAGGCCCCACGCCTTGCGCCTTGCCTGTTCCTGTGTACTGTGGGGCCCCCACTCACTCTGCTGTAAGCTTGGGGGGGCGGCTGGCCCTCCAGGCAGAGGGGCAGCCCCAGGGAAACTGGCCGTCATGCAAATGGGAATTGCATGTGCAAAGGTCTCCAGGCAGAAAAGTTTGCAGGTCACCGCCTGTGCAGGAAGCAGGGAAGCTATCTTGTTCCCTGCTCTGGGATTTAAGCGATTTTCCCGCCGCAGCCCGGAAAACAGTTGGGACTACAGGCGTGGGCCAACATGCCCAGCTAACTTTTGTATTTTTTGTAGAGACGCAGTCTTGCTATGTTCTCCCGGCTCGCCTCAAACTCCGAGGCTCAGGAGATTCTCCTGCCTCAGTCTCCCATTGTTGGGACTACAGGCGTAAGCACCCAAACCCCACCGGGTTTCAGATTTTTAATGAAGACTCCCTGTGGCTGTGTGAAGAAAAGGTACCGGTACTAAACGGGGGTGTGGGGGTGAGGCTGGGGCCAGCTAGGCCAGAGATGGTGGGTGCAGGGGCCATGCTGAGTGGACAGGCCAGAGTTCCAGAGGAACCCCAGGTTTGGGGCTGGAGTTAATGGTGGTGCGCTCGGCTGTGGGCTACCCTGGAAGTAGGGATTGGAGCGAAGAGGTCCCACGAGTGAGAATGAGTCTATCAGGCCTCCCAGTTTCCTGCAGCAGCAGCTGGATATGGGGTCCTGAGTGCCAGGAGCGGATGTGGTGTTTGCAGGTCACGCCTAGAAAAGTGAGGAGGGCTTCCCTCTGCACCCCCGAGCCAGGGCCAGAATGCCCAGGCCCCAAGTGACCCTCACAGCGCTGGCTCGGGGAGCAGACCCAAGCCTTCATCCAGAGTCGGACCAGCAGGGCCTCCTTCAGGTGCCCGGATTCCAGCGTACAGGGGCACCGGCGCTGGCCTGAACCCGGGAAGGGGGCGAGGGTGCAGCCTCCGGGTGTGGGGAGCCACGGATGGTGTCAGATTCCCCACAGCAGGAGGTACTGGGTCTCCCTGGCTGCAGCCCTGTAAAGTCACAGCCCCAGTCCCGCCCCTGTTCCCTGCACCCCTGGGGTCCAGCCCACTGCGCCAGGCTCAAGGCCCTAACCAGGGAGCCCGAGCCCCCAGTCCCCGCCATCCCCGACTCCGCGTTTTCCCGGATCCTCGGGCGGGGGGCTGGGGGCCGGCCGGGTGCCGCGAACCTGCGTGAGCGCGGGGGCGGGGCGGTGACGTCATGGCCACGAGCGAGGCTGCGCAGGCCGCTGGCTGACGGCAGCGAAGCCCCGAGCCGCCCGCGCACGCGCTCCTGCGTCAGCGGCCCGTGGGGGCGAGGGCCGGGCGCGAGGTGGGGGGGGGCGGCGGGCGCATCTCCGAACGCGGAGCGCCCTCTGCGGGCGCCGGGGAGCAGCGCGCCGGGGGCCGGGGTCCCCCGGGAGGCCTCCCGCGCCGCCCTCGCGCCTGCCCGCGCTGCGCCCCAACTCGCGGCCGCCGTTCCCTAGAACAGCTGCACCTGCCGCCTCCCAGCCTCAGCCGTCCTGCGCTTACTCGGCTTTTACTTGTCACCACCTGCCCCTGCGACCTTTTTTTTTTTT